CTGAGAAAAGTACAAAGGCTGCAGCTGATTTTTCTGGGCCTTCATCTTTTAGACGAGTGCAAGAACTGGTGTAATCTCAAAACGAACACATGCCCGTTCCTCCACTTTAGTCTTAATAAATTAGACGCCAGTCATGATAATAGAAATCCAGCTCTCACTGTGCACTTTGGTCTCTCACTCTGCTCAGTTGACATAGTTTGACCTCCCAGCTTTACTTGTAGACATCTCAGCAACATTTCCTATTACTGCTGCACAGCTTGAAGGGAGGGTTTGCATATATTAAGCTGCCAATCTCTTCAATAAATCTGTTCAGCTGTGACATTTTGTGGCTATCATTTAGCAATCGCCTGTCTCCCGACATCTCTCTCTGCCTTATTTGCCTTCATCCTGCATTTGTTTTGGTTGTTGGCAGTTTTATGCTTGTACCCATCAGCTCTATGAGGAGAATATTAAGCAGGTAAATAGTGTGCTGGCTTGTACCCATCTGCTCTATGAGGGGAATATTAAGCAGGTAAATAGTGTGCTGAATATTGAAAGAGAACATGAAAAATGGTAACTTTAATTTTAAAACTCACTTTGCCATTCTTCCTTCCTCTGTCTCTGTCCATGTTTTCAAGCTGAAGGCTGTCCAGCTTGCCGAGAAGCTGCTCCCTGCCTTTAATACCCCCACCGGAATCCCCTGGGCCATGGTCAACCTTAAGAGGTTAGTGACGCTTCCACTGAACACCATCCCCCTGATCCCGTACTGTAGGCACCCTAAAACGAATACAATAAGAGATGGGTCATTCAAAATCAGAAATGACAACTGTCCGAGTAGCTAGGGACAGTCCAGGGTGTGATAAGTGTGTATATAACAATTTTAGAGACTTCATCAATAGACTGACTTCCTATGTATTATCAAAATTAGTGTTTGTAAAAGTATTTAAATGTCTTGACGTATTAAAAGTAAACTTGTTAACAGTTTTCATTGTGTGCTCTTGTATTAATTTAGCTCTGACATCTGTGGTTCTGTGTGGCCTTAACTTCCTCCCCTGTCTCCCTTTGCTAACTAGGGTCGGTTCAGACCTGCAGCTCCCCCACCTGCTTACTGTTTATCTGTTGCCGTCTTTAATATCATTAAGCACTGAGGCAGCAGCAGTGGACTGTTGATTACTCACTTCACAAGAAAGTTAAAAAAAAACATACAGTAAATGTGTGGCTGAAAATCTCAGAGAAAAGAAGTTAAAATCAGAAAAATCCAAATGATTCAAATAGTTAATTGCATCTAACAGCGGTGACTGCAGACACCAGAGAGACCACAGCTCCCACTGAGTCCAGTACAAACACCAGCAGTAGAGATACTGTAATTAGAAAGAAGCCAGTTGGAGTCTATCGTCATGGAAGCTGTAATTGAATTATGTAAATAACAGTTAGACTATAACATGGCCAACGTATATAAATATAATTCATGTGTAGGTGTTTCTATCTCATGTGTTGTAGTGTTGGATGAGGAGGAGGGGGAGTCTGGGGTCAGGGGTTATTTGTTCACATTGTTGTTGTTCTCCAGTGAATGATACAGAAGAAAAGAAACTTTAACAAATTACAGATTAAATCACAAATAGATTGTTTTCCCAAACTGTTCAGCCTTATTGTTATTTTCAGTATATCAGCACTCACACACCTTCAACCTGAAAAGTAGTTTAATTGTTTTGAGTAAGTGAAAATGCCTGTTTGAGCAGAACTTCAGGTCTTCAGGATCTTTTTTGGAACCTGTGTGAGTTTGATTCTGGACAGGTTGTGAACTTGCCTTAGAGAAGTGGCGCCTGTACTCAGCCAGTTAACCTGCATCATGTAACGATGATGATCCTGAAGGGTAACATTGCCATCATATTACCATCCCTTTCTGCTTCTCTTATTGGCTTAGACTGTGTTAGTGTGGTGTGTGTGTGTGTGTGTGTGTGTGTGTGTGTGTGTGTTTGTGAGATCAGCTTCCTGTTTTTGAAGATACTGTATGTGTATGAACTAGCGAGGGCCTTCTTCTCTCAAGGTCAATTTAATTTGTTACAGAACGGATGCTCTGTATTTTGCTTCCCCCTAGACACACACAGGATCAAAACACAGCTACCCATGTTGATACATACGCAGATGTCCCCAGGAGTAATTGTACACCCAGGATTTTAATCTAAACAGAAAACAGCCAAGTACCACACCTTTTTTTTCCACTAGATCAGACAAACAAGGTGCCTCTCACACACAGGTACACTCAAAACCCAAAGCCTATAAATTTTCCACGCCTCATGTAAAACTGAAGCATTTCCAGATATGTTCCACATGTGTAAATGTCATTTTAGCTGCTGCAACCAAGACAAGCTTGTGTACATGTAGAGAACCTGTTGCAACAGCTGCAGTCAATCCAGTCTGTAATTCTGCCATTTCACCAGATGGAAAAATGTATTTTCTGGTTTGGTGTTGTTATGGAGACAGAGGATGCCACTTGGAAAAGGGAACCAGTACCTTACTTCAACATTTAATATATTTGGAGGGAACTGTGTTGCCTTTTGCGGCTAACAATCAATCATGTAAATCAGGTGAAGCCTTGCTCATTTGCTTAATGCTGTACTCATCAAGATCTTTTGTTTTTTTCCTGCATTGTGATGCTAAAAGCTCGTATTTGGGATTTTTAACATTTACCTTCATATATTTTCAGTACTGCATGTATCAAAGTCCATTGAATACGTGGTCCGAATTATTATTCAGTGTTATTTTGTCTGATGTACCAGAGGGTAAAGAGTTTTTGTCTTATTGGCCATCACATTGACCTCACACTCTCCACAACCAACTCTTTTTTCTTACCTTCTCTCTCCTTCTTCTCCATCTCCTCCTCCTCCTCATCCATCCTTTCTGCTCTTCAGCGGTGTTGGACGTAACTGGGGCTGGGCGTCAGCGGGCAGCAGCATCCTGGCTGAGTTTGGGACTCTCCACATGGAGTTTGTTCATCTCACCTACCTGACAGGGAACCCCACCTACTACCAGAAGGTACTGTAGCACATTGAAATAATGTTTCTCTGTGTGTGTGGTGAGTCTGGGCATGTTTTCTGTACTGCAGCATGCCTGCATGGGTTTTCTGCTGTGTTATGTCATTATGTATGTAGTGTACCCTAAAGGTTTTATGCCAGCAATCATTTATGTACATTTATGAACCACCTTGTGCTTGAACACGGTGTTTGTTATGGCCAATCAATGACTAGCACAGAAGTCCGATAACAGAGCACCATTCCGGTTCAGATTGGGCAGGCCGTTCCTCACAGTCAAGTCAAGTCTCCCAGTAAAACTGTGGAGTCCTCAGGTGGTGTTCCCTCAAGTACCTTCCCCAGGGTCTCCAAGAAGGCCACATACTCTGAACTACTGTTTGACACATAAGCGCATACAACAGCCAGAACTTTCCTCTCAGCGACTTTAAGTCACATGGGGGCAGCCCTCTCGTTCCTCGGGGATGTGGTTTTGTTGGTTTCATCAGACTGTGACCTCCAGCACGCACTGGGGAGGTTTGCAGCTGAGTGTGAAGTGACAGGGCTGAGAGTCAGCACTTCCAAGTCTGAGACCATGCTGCTCTGCCGGAAAATGGTGGACCGCTCCCTCTGGGTTGGTGGTGTGTTTAAGTATCTCAGGGTTTTGCTCATGAGTGAGGGTAAATTTGGGTGTGAGATTGACAGGTGGATAGGGGCAGCATCAGCAGTAATGCGGATGTTGTACCAGACCATTATGGTGAAGTAAGAGCTGAGCAGAAAGGCAAAGCTCTCAATTTACCAGTCAGTCTAAACTCCAACCCTTACCTATGGTCACAAGCTGTGGGTAGTGACCAAAAGAATAAGATCATGAATACGGCCAAAATGAGTTTCCTTCGCAGGGTGGCCTTAGAGATAGAGTGCGGAGTTTGGACATCCGGAAGGGGCTCAGTGTAGAACCGCTGCTCCTTCATATCAAAAGGAGGCAGTTGAGGTGGTTTGGGCATCTTATTAGGATGCCTCCACGTGCTGTGGAAAAATGCGCTATATAAATACAGTCCATTTACCTTTTACCTCCAGGGCGCTTCCCTTTTCCAGGCATATCCAACTAGTAGGAGACCCTGGGGCAGACCCAGAACATGCAGGAGAGATTGTGTATCTTATTATATACCTTATTTTATGTCTAGATAATTTCAGGGTTACAGTGCATATCTGAAAGGCACTTTAAACATTCAGTATTTCTGAAAACTACTGATTGCAGAAATACCATATTTGTTCATGCTTATTAAAGTATTAACGTATCAAGGTGAGAAGGGGGGAGAGTGAGAGTGAGAGGACCAGGGCGCCCTAGTGAACTTAAACAGGCCAAATAAACTGTGCAGAACACGTTAGGATTATATTGTAATTTGGCCCTTTTCAAAGGGTGAATATATTCTGTGTAGGTTAAAACTTTTTTGTTTGATGTTCATTTCAGGTGATGCACATCCGGAAGCTTCTAGCCAAAATGGACCGACCCAACGGGCTGTACCCAAATTACCTGAACCCCCGCACAGGCCGCTGGGGCCAACGTGAGTAGACAGCACCAGGGTTGGCAACCGAACATTTTAGTCAGCAGTCACTGCTTTACCTTACAGTGTTAGTCCTGAGTGCTGAGTTTAATGCTTACAAATGCACTTTTGTGGTGATAAATAAATGAAAATATAGCTTAAACAGTGCACTTTGGAAAAATGATAAATTCCAGTGTTGGATTCAGTTATTTTAAATTTCAGAGAAAAGAGGATATCAGGTGTTGTTGAGATGCATTTAGGTTTTCAAAATTTTATTTGAGAATGTGCTCGAATACCTGGATCACTGTTTCATAACCTGCCAATTGGGAGAAGTGTCAAATTGTTCTTCCAAGCTTCAGCTGGTCATGTACTTAGTGTGAAGGGCTGTGGAGAGAAACAGGAAATAACACAAAGTAAAGAAAGAAAAAGTACTGTAGAATGGATCTTCTTTAATGAGAACAAATTGAAGTGATCAGAAGAAGATGGAAGAGAGGGAACACAGCATATTGATTACATTTTGGCAGTTTGCCCACGGAAATGAACAGCTCTCTGAGTGAAGTTAGACGTGCAGTAAAACACTTCAGTGAAATCTGTCATTTCTGGTTGAAGCAGTTTTTAAAATTGCGGTCACATTCCGGAAATGCCAAGAGAAATAGAAACAATACGTGAAAATTACACAACATGCAAAAAACTGTGGACTTAACATGTTTTCAGACATTTTGGTAAATATTTATTGTTTTAAGTCTCCCTTAAACTATACTCACATGCCCTTATGTACAGTTGAAATAGCTTTTGGTAGCTGTGATTGTCTCTCCTGTCCATGCTGTCTATGAAAAAATCCCTACTATGTTTTGAATACAAGTAATGGGGGACATTACTAATATTAAATATGTACTGTATATATATATATGTGTGTGTGTGTGGGTGTGTGTGTGTGCAGGTCTATATTTATAAGTAAGTAAGTACTTTTTTATTATCTCTTTCCTAATGCACATCCCCTTGCTTGGTGACATGAAACACATTGAGAGCCGCTGTACCAGACTCAAATTCCTCATGTGTCCGCCACACCTGCCAATAAAGCTGATTCTGATGAACCGACCACAGCAACAGAAAAACCCTACCACTTCTAATAGTAGGTTTTAACCACAACTGCAATAGCTAATATTCAATATTTATACAAACAAACCAGCACCACGACCATTTGCTCTCCACAGACTATGACAACTGCAAAAACACAAGACTATAACACTATAAACTGCACAAACACAAAATACAATAACTATGAAAAGAACACACGTCTCCTCTATCATACACATATGAGAAGCGAGTGGCACACACCCAAAAGGAGCAACGGGGGGGAGAAGGACAATTGGAACACAGAAAAAAAATCAAAGACAGTGTATACTCACCTCAGCAAAACATTATACGTTCTATAAACACATAAAATTTAACAGCAACGACCAGCCAAACAGCAATAACAATAATGGCAAACAACTTCTGCCCTTCAGCCATACACACACCTCTCTGTCCCTCTCTGGGTTTCTTCACAAACACGCTTCACACAACGTCACTCAACATGCATACATACTGTATATACTGTACATTTAAACACATTTAAGTCTGGACTTATTAAGTTACATGAAGCACTTTTAAGTGGGATGTCTCAGTGTTGGCCAACAAAAACCGTATGAGGCACACAGCCGATCCCAGCTGATCGGGTCTGGACCTTCTGGCTGTAGCGTCGTACACAATTTCCCACAGTTTGCATTGAAATGTATTTGTCTAAACCATGGAGCACACTAAATCACTTTGGAGCCTAAACAGCTGCGAGGATGTGACAGTCTGCCTGCTTGTACAGGACAACACCTTGTTCTGTTTTCTCTTCTACCTACAACATTTTAGCATAATCAAAACTCATTGATTAGTCACTTTAGAGTCAAAACAACTATAACCTAAATCTGTAGCACCCACAGCAGTACCGACATCACTATTACAGCCTTATCATAAATTTGATCAGATGCAAAACATATTTATAACTCTTACTTTAGCTCTACCCAAATTGTAACTGTATCTAGTAACACGTATGAATTTGGACCCCAAACAGGCTGTATTGTTTAAAACAACAGACATGTAAAAACAACATCAATTTGTCATGTAAAAACAGTTAGCTAGTTACAGCAGTGTTCTGAATTTTTAAAAAGTTACCTGGTTTCCCTCTACTCAAATTCTTGGAGGACAGCCAAAAATAGGAGATCAAATTTGAGATAAAACTGTCACTTGGCCTTACCAGCACGCAGTGATGTCCCATACAACAGACGGCATTTCAATATTTATAAAAAAAGCCAAAGCTCACCTTTTTTCAGTGCACTGTGAAACAGCCACCACATGCTATATCAATTTAAGGTGCTTTTCTTTACTTTTCCCCCCTGTTTTCTCTCCCCCACCTTTGGCTCCTACCTGTCTGAGTGACGCCAAATAATCTCTGTGGTGGCCAATGTCTGATGGGAGCTAAATTAATTCACAATCCCAATGGTCATTTATTATTACAATAATTCAAAGCAGGGGATAGAACCACCGTCTCTGCAGAGAAATAAATAAAAGTATTGAATAAGAGAAATGTCAAACGATTTAGTCAGTCAGTCGAAAAGTCTAAGTCTTGTCTCTCTTCTCCTCTGCTAGCTCCCCATCCTTGCTTGCTTCCTGAACACTCACACACCCAGTTCACTAGTTCTACCTCTTTATGTTCACAGTTCTTTCTGGCTCTTACGTCAGTTCCCAAACTTAGCTTCCTATCTTCTCTTTTACGAGAAAACACCCTCTGAAATGTGCTCGAAAACAGAAAACGGACTGACCGTCTCCCTGAAGCTCTCATTTTGACACACACCCCATTTTCAGAACAAAAGGTCAAAGCCTGCCAAAATTATTTAAGTATTTTCAACTCACACTGCAGTCTCCCTATGGTACTCTATTACATATTACACACTAACTATATACATTAACTATTAACTATATGCGTTTGTTTGTTTTAACCACTACATGTTCCTAAACCTGGACATATTCATTAGCTACCATCTTGTTGCCTTAACCAGCTCTGCTGATTACAGCATGGCTGCCTGACTCATTAAGGCTCATAGCTGCTCCAAATCCAAACTGAGCTGCCCCTGATCTCAGCACGAAGAGGCTGCATGATACAGTGAGGAGGGAGCTAAGTAACAGGAACATAATTAATGTGAAACTCAGAGAGGCTCGGCAAAATGAACATTGATAAGTTTTTGCTAAATGATTAGGAAAAGGCGCCCCTGATGATTAGCAAACATTTTCTCTGTTCATTTCATCTGTTCATTCGCTGAGCAGGGAAATGATCATTTCTAGTTAGTATGTGACTGCTGTACACTAGTCCACTGTAGATCATTTTGTTGGGTCCCTGTAGCTGGATGAGTAAAAAGCTTTAGCTGTTTTAACCAAAAAGCAGCCTGAAGCAGTCAGAGGGAGAAAATCTTGGCACTACACAACCAGCAGAAGAAACTGTAGAGCCTCCAGTAACAGAGCCATAAAGCAAAAAACAACAACAACAACAGCAAAACTCTCATGAAACTTAACAGCAATAAGTTTATTTAGCATTTGTTCAAACTAAAGCAGAACTGTCCTGTTGAAACTTCACATGTATTCACAAATAAACACCCAGGGCCTCTTTCATGATCATCTTGAAGATGTCAAATTTGACCAAATACGTACTAGAACAAGACAAACTTGTACTGTACTGTACTTCACAACAGAATTTTTACTACATGTTCAGAGTTGGACAGAAGAAGGGCGTCAAACATAAAATGACAAACTTCACTATATTGCTGGTCTGAGAAGGTAAAAGGTGTACAAACCCAAATCGATATGAAATGTGCTTTTGTTGATTTAATTCTAGCACGCATTGGCACGGGGAAAAATCAGCAGTACACATGAGTGAAGCAACAAGAAAGATCCTCTACAGCAGCTGTTCACAACATTGTCATGATACAGTGAGGACTGTATCATTCACATTTCATCCAGGAAAGCAGGAAATTACAGCACATTCCAAGTCTTCTCTGATAAACACGCAGTTTGTGTAATGTGTTGTGTGAATATTTATGTTTTTGAACACCTGTAGCTGTTTGCACAGTCAAACAGGGACACACCACATCCATTTAAATTAATTACAGCACCATTTAGACTGAGCTTTCTAGAGGCAGTGAGGCTGTTTCTCATGTTTTATGTGCACTGGGGCCCGGAACAAAATGTACACAAACCACTGTAGACATCAGTGCTTTGGCGAGTAAGCAGCCATCTTTTGGAGGCTTTGTTACAGCATGATTAATTTGTAAGTGTGCGTTTTGAGGATGAAACAAACTGTGGCAGGCTTGGTGAAAAGCTCGTGTCTCACTGTGTGTGGGTGTATGTGGAGAGCTGTGTGTGAACTGTGAGTAGTCAGAAATATTGGGCGACAAATACATGTGAGAGTGTGCCTATGTTTGAGACAAAGTGTGAAAGGCTCGAAGCCTATTTCGAGAGTGTGCGCACACGTGTCACTGTGTGTGAATTTGTGTGTGCGTGTGTGCATGTCTCGTATTTGTAGGTGTGTAGACAGTAGTTAAGGCAGACTAATGAGAAATGAGGCTGTGCTCCTTTGTCTTAATGAGATCCTGCTGTGACTGACAGCCTTATTACCACACACTCCTCTGTCTTACTATAACACTGTGCTGCACACACACACACACACACACACACACGCGCTCTCAATCACTCTTGTTAACCTGCTGACCTGCACTCTTCTTCCCTCACGTTTGACGATAGACTGTCAAACACTCTTTTCATCGTCACTACATTTCCATGTAGCAAAATGAATTACAAACCAACCTGAATTGTAACATGTTTTGCTTGTGTTCAGCTTTGCTCATGGGTTATGTTGGTAAAATGTAATAAAATCTTTCTTAATGCATAAACATGGTGTAGAGAAATTCAACTTTAGTTGCCTATGAATCTCTCTTTTCTTAGCCTGTTAATGAAAATGTATATTGTTTCACTTCATTTAATCATAACATTGTGCTAACATTAACACTCCTACTTTGCCCATTTTTAGGTTATTATATCTGAGTAGACTTACAACAACTTGTTTACAGTACAGTACTTGTGTTGATCTCATCTGCACTTGACAACAATTTCTACAATTTTTCTGGCTCTTCACAGAATCATGATCTCACCTACAAAGCTTTGGTTGCCTCAGGTGTTTTTACAACCAGCCACACAGCTGAAGAAAGTCTAATCTTGCTGCATTTTAGCTGGGTGTACAGTATAAACTCTTTTATTTTCTCTCCAGAAAGCTTTAATTAAATGTTAAGCACAGTGGAAAATTGCATTTTTAACCATTTTAGCTTTTACAATAATTCAAATGAGTAAAAAAATAAATAAAACCGCTCTGTCCCTTCTGTGCCACACAGTTTGTCACCTGTGCAGGACTTAAAAATAATGATTTTCTATCACTACAAGGGTGTAGTTTTGCATATGGATGGTAGGGACATGTCACAACAGTATTTAGTGTGGACAGAAATGCCCCTACCAACATTATCTTTGGAGTGAAGTCATATTAGATCATTCTGTTGTGCCCTCCTTGAGGCTACATCTGCTAGACGCCATGCTACCATTTGACAGACTGAAATGGAGGGGACAATTGGAAGCTCATGTCATATTTGCTCCCAGGCACAGAGGAGGTGATAGCTGTCAGTCCACCGGTATGTTATCAGGGCTGTTGGTCCATGGGCAAAAATGTAGTCTTTCTTTAGATGACTTATTCTCTTTCCTTCATTGTCTGCACTCAACAGCACACATAACATAACTTTGTCCGTGCCATGTCTTGTTCTTTGTAGATAACATTACTTCACCAAAAAGATAACTAGACATCAGGACCTTTTTGCCTTCCAGAGCTTAAGTAGCTAAAAGGCTAGATAGCTAACTAGCTAGTCAGTAGCCTTGTTGACTTACAATGAAAACCTGCTAGCTACATAACATCACAAGTCTTTAAACTGTGGAGAATGCCAACTCAGGTTAGTTAGCTATGTTATCTGTTGTCAACTAGCAAGCTAACCCTGTCTTCTGTTATCTACAGGCTAGCAGGGGGAGGGTGTTGTGTCTCTACCAGTGTTGAGACCAACCCTACGCCCTTGTGTTACTAGTGTCAAGCATGAACTTAACATGATCTAGAAGGTGAGAACTAAAACATGGCTGACCTCTGCAGTTGTGTTCTTGATTAGGTTAGATGTAGCACATCAATAAATTGTACTGTACTGCTGCACTTGATAACATCCACAGATGTTTGTAGTATTACCTTTAACTATTACATCTGAGTGCGTTTGAAGCTTTGTGAAGACGTTTGTTTGTGTGTGTGTGTGTGTGTCATTGTGTCTAAGGGTTAGTGTGCATTTGAAGCCACCGCCTCTGAAGACCCTGCCTTTGATTGACAGGCACTTCCTACATGACCCAGATCCTTTGATTGGCAGAGGAATGATGAAGAGGAGCTAGGGGAGTCTGTGCAGACGGATGCTGTGCTGAAAGAGGGTGGGAAGTGAT